TTAGGGTCCGGGGTTTAGGGTTTACATAGGGTTTGGTGAGGTTTGGGGTTTCGGATTTGGGTGTGGGGTTAGCATTTTCAGGCTTCTGGCATTTTGGGGGGTTTAGGGTTTAGTTTTCTTGTTTCTTTGTTGGGATTCTGGGTGTTCCGGGGGGGGGGGGGGGTTAGAGTTTTAGGGATCACCTAGGCGAACCTACATACCCTGAAAAGCGGGACATGTCCCTGAATTAGTGTTACGTTTACTAAACCCTAAACCCTAAACCCAAAACCCTAAACCCTAAACCCTAAACCCTAAACCCTAAACGGTACTTGGAGGTTCGTGGTACTTACTAACCAAACAATAGTTGCACCCTTAGCTTGATTGCAACCATATTAGGGTAATTAAGGGGCTTCCAAGTGGGTACCTATGAACCCCCCAAACCCGAAACCCAAAACCGTAAACCCTAGACCCAAGACCCTAAACCCTAAACCCTAAACCCTAAGCCCTCAGCCCTAAGCCCTAAGCCCTAAGCCCTAAGCCCTAAACCCTAAACCCTAAACCCTAAACCCTAAACCCTAAACCCTAAACCCTAAACCCGAACCCTAAACCCTTTCATTGGGTTTTCAGTACCCATGAACCTCCACTAGGCACCTCGGTGAGCTCCTGTTCCTTGGCGGCCTCCAACACCTGGAGGCTTGGGACGCAGGGTTTGGGGTTTAGGGTTTAGGGTTTGTTTGGTATATGCCTCCGCTTTTTTCCAAAGCATGGTGGTTTCCGAACTTGGGGGGGGGGGGGGGGGGGGGTACCTTATTGGGGACCTTTTTATAAGAGAATCCGAGTATTTGGGGTCGTAATTCTGGGTCCCCTATTTTCGTATAAAAAGAAACCATACTAGGATGCCCAGTAGTACCCTTATTCCCTTTTTTGGGGGGTTTAGGTTCCCTTATAAACCCCTTTAAGCAAAAATGGCCACCCTTTTTAAGCCTAGGTTACTGGGCAGCCTAGCATATAGGTTCCAGGTAGAGTTAAGGCCCTGACATGGAGGTAGGATGGAAGGCTTGGGGTTGCGAGGGTGCAGGGTTTAGGGTTTAGGGTTTAGGGTTTAGACATGTGCTGTCTCAGTCTCCCTCTATATCTCTCTCTAGATTGGGATGTTCCCCCGTATACTAACAGTCCTGAATAGAGACTTCATACTGGGGGGCACTATGATCGCTGTTAAGGACTGTTAGTATAAAGGGGGGAACATCCAGTATGTATAGGTACATTGATACATGGACACAGATCAGGAAAGAAGCTCACGAATGTACTCATGCATGTGTGTCTACCTAGAGCAGCCTGTTTACCCGCAAATCTACCGGAACTGGGTGCCTCCTAAACGCTAATTAAGCCTTTAACCCTGAATGTATGTGTGCATATGCATATGCCTTTATACTCATACGTATGTGCTTCCCTCTACTGCTGCTGAAGCTTTTCTGCCACAGGCCCACTCTTCTGAACAGGTTGTCCTTGCTAAACCTTCTGAGTCATCCTGAATATGCAGCTTTCAAATGGCTTTTTGCAGCTGAGGGGGTTCGGGTTTAGGGTTTAGGGTTTAGGGCTTAGGGCTTAGGGCTTAGGGCAGGGGGGGTTTAGGGCTTAGGGCTTAGGGCTTAGGGCTTAGGGCTTAGGGCTTAGGGCTTAGGGCTTAGGGCTTAGGGCTTAGGGCTTAGACATTTCATGTTTGCAAAGCAGACTCAGCACGATGCGATGACCCTAAACTCGAAACTCCGTGCCCCACACCGCAACTGGTCCCTGAGCTGAAGCGCGGGCTTTCTGGTCTAGGGTTTAGGGTTTAGGGTTTAGGGATTAGGGTTTAGGGTTTAGGGTTAGGGGTTAGGGGTTAGGGTTTAGGGTTCCGGCTTGATGGGCTTGCCCTGACTCTGAAGCCTGACAACAAGCCATACTAGAGGGAGGGTGAAACTGAGGTGATAAGTAGGACTACTATAGTTGTATATGTACATAAGTATATATATATATATACAGCTACATACAACCATAATTTTGGGACTCAGAACACTGCGTATATCTACCCCAAACCCTAAACCCTAAACCCTAATCCCTAAACCCTAAACCCTAAACCCTAAACCCTAAACCCTAAAGTGAACCTTCAAGTAGGCCCCAGGTCCCCAACTGTGGCCCTGTGAGGACCTTCGGCTGCAGGGGGCAGGAGGACCGGCGCACCTCATAGTTCGCCAACTGTGTGTAGGGTTTAGGGTTTAGGGTTTAGGGTTTAGGGTTTAGGGTTTAGGGTCTAGGGTTTAGGGTTTAGGGTTTAGGGTTTAGGGTTTAGGGTTTAGGGTTTAGGGTTTAGGGTTGAGGGGACTTAGGATGTCTATCAGATAAACCATGCAATCCGAACCGGGGTTTTGGGGTTTAGGGATACCACCCAAGCCTCAAGGCCCTCAACCAATTTGTTTCAGAAAAGTACCAAGCAGGGAGGGGAGCCTTCCCGATACCCCTCCCAGGACGCCGTGCGAATCCCGTGTGCCGGCTGCCAGGCCGCTCATGGGCTGATGTTACCGCAAGCCTCAATATCCATGTACCCGCTGGGTTTAGGTTTTAGGGTTTAGGGCTTAGGGTTTGAGGTTTAGGGTTTAGGGGGAAAGATGCGAACGATTGAGGTAATGTTCCTCTTTGTCGAAGGTTTGCAAAGGTTCTACCCTAACCCTAAACCCTATAACCTCTACTGGTGAACTGGTGTGGCTTGGCATTCAGGGCCTGTGGTTTAGGGGGCTCATGCACGAGATCACGATATACACACACATATAGCACAGCATCTCACAACAGAACATAGCATACCATAGCATACTTAAGTTAGTAGCTGAGTGAGTACACTTTACACTTTTGGGCTAGTATAATTTCCCATAGAACTGAAAGTGTACACTTTTTTTAGGGGCTTATGAACTCAGCAACTCAGTTAAGGTGCCCCTGGGATGTTCTATATGTTCCCTAGCTGTGTTTAAGAGAATCATCTTCCGGATTTTTTCCGAGGGTGTGTAGTTCCAGCCCAAGCAGGACTTAATCACAGCACGCACGTCACAACGCCCGGCCCAGAAAGGGTCCGTTCCTATTTCGTAGCTGCTTTGGGGCCCGAGCGGCCCAAGCCACCCTAAACCCTAAACCCTAAACCCTAAACCCTAAACCCTAAACCCTAAACCCTAAACCCTAAACCCTAAACCGATATACTGGGTACATGGACCCCTTAGGGAGCGCCCCGGCTCGCAGGCTACCGCCCCAGCGTTCTCCGTGCAGCTCCCGACCTGCACCTGTTGGACGAGGAGGTCGGGATGCCTGGAGGTTTTCAGGGGTTTAGGGCTAGGGTTTAGGGTCTAGGGTCTAGGGTTTAGGGTTTAGGGTTTCGGGTTTCGGGTTTCGGGTTTAGGGTTTAGGGCGAGTGTCAGCCCAGTGGTACCCTTTACTTGTTTTTTGTTGTGTTCTGGGTTCCCAGGTAAAGTACCCATGCCCTGATTATTGATAAAATGGCTACTGGGCTACTAACAACCTAAACCTTACGTAGACTAACTTGCATATCTTCAAAAAAAGGGGGAACGTACCGCAGAAAGGGTGGCAATAGCTTACTTCGGGTAGACTTTCGATGTAGGTATGCCTCTGTTAATGTTGAGTCCCTGATCCCAGAGGTCCTCTTGTTTTTAACCCTAAAGCCTAAACCCAAAACCCTACACCCTAAAACCCTTCCCCCCCCAACCCCCCCCCCCCCCCTCAACCCTAAAACCCTAAACCCTACACCCTAAACCCTAAACCCTAAACCCTAAACCCTAAACCCTAAACCCTAAACCCTAAACCCTAAACCCTAAACCCTAAACCCTAACCCTAAACCCTAACTGTCACAGGGAGTGGCCGCCGGCGAGAGGCTCGAAGAGGCGGAGCGGCCGGTGCCCCTCTCGGCAACAGGGCTCGGGGGCGGTAGGGCTTACTTGGAGGTTCATGGTACTTACTAACCAATTATAACTGTACTTATAACCCTACTTATCATACCCCTAAAGGGCCTTAGAGGGGTTATCCCACGTATAAGTAGGGTTATAAGTACAGTTATAATTGGTTAGTAAGTACCATGAACCTTCAAGTAGGGTTAGGGCAAAATTGAACCCTAAACCCAGCACCTTACCTAGAGAACCCTCTACACTCGTAGACGGAAGATATCCCTTTGCTTGAAACTTAAAAAAGGCGAGTTGCTCCCCATGTAAAAACCATGCAGACCCTACACCAAAAATAAGCTCATGTTACCCTAATTTGGGATGTCCCCCCTTATACTAACACCTCCTGAATAGGGATTCTAGTACCCCTTATTAAAATCCCTATTTAGGACTGTTTGTCGGGGGAACATCCCAAACCCTGAGCCCTAAGCCCTAAGCCCTAAACCCTAAACCCTAAACCCTAAACCCTAAACCCTAAACCCTACCTCCGTGTCTGGGGCCGAGCACGCCAGCGGCTCAATCACCTCGGGTGAGCACGGTTCCTGAGTCCACGTTCCTCGGGTGGCGGACCAGCATGACATCCTTGGTGTCCAAGGCTGTTTAGGGTTTAGGGTTTGGGGTTTGGGGTTTAGGGTTTGGGGTTTGGTGTTTGGGGCTTGGGTTTGGGGTGGAACGTCGGCTAGCTGGACCTTGTGCTTGAATTGCGATGCATTGCGGCTGATCATATGCATGATAAGATCATCATCATCAACATCATCAACATCATCATCATCATCATCATCATCTACTACTTGAGGTTTTGTATGCGCGTGAGTTGCAGGCCCTTCTTCTGGTGGCTGTCTGCACCCACACCTTGGCCTGCAACAATGCTGGCCAGTTCGACCCCTAATAGCTGAGTGAGCACACTTTTACACTTTTTGGGGATACTAGAACCCCCTATAGAACTGAAAGTGTACACTTTTTTCGGGGGGGGGGCTTATGAACTCAGCAACTAAGAAATACCCCTAGGCCCTAAACCCTAACACTTTACGTGTGTAGGGTTTTAGCATGCTTATGAACTCAGCAACTAAGGACCAGACCACCTTCACGGCGTCCCTCTATGGTGGCTCTTTCGGCGGCATGGCGCTGGCCCTCATCATGGTGACTACTAACTACTATTTGCTTAAGAAGCCCCCCCCCAAAAATGAAATCATAATCCCTTTCTTACCCTTATGTGGAAGTGTATTTGTGTTTTTTGTTTTTTTGGGGGGGTTCTTAAGCAATTCGTCTAGGTGATCCTGGCCTCATTGCCGCTCTGCTGTGGGGTTTTGAAGCAGTACGGGAAGATCATTGCTGGCATCACCATCGTGCTTGGATTGCTCTCCTTGGTGGTTCCCCTCTTTGGCTCCATGGGCGCCTGCGGGCCTTTCGTGGACGCCATCTGCAGCGAGCGCTGCAGCGGCTACGAGTGCACGGCAACTGAGAGGGACGACATGTCGTCAGTCTGCAACGCGCTGGGCTTCCTGGTGGTCTACATCGGCGCCTTTGGCTGGGCCACCTGCGTCCTGGGCATCGTGGCGGCTGCACTGGGCTGCTGCGTCTGCTGTGGCTGCTGCAAGGCCAAGATGGACGGGCCCGCGCCAGGGGGTGGGCCAACCGTGGTGGTGGGGGCTGTGCAGCAGCCGGCATGAGATGGGAGTATCAAGGAGCAAAACCCTAAGCGTCCATGTACCTAAATAGTAATTGCTTTATGGTATATAGGAACCCCTTTATGGCCAGTATCTACTATGTAGGTACCTGGACCCTTTGGGAACACGGTTTGAATGCTTCTGACCGTGAAGGTCAGGTGCTGTTTTGCCGCCTGGGCTGGTCTGAAATGGGTTCTGGCTGCAGGTGGCTGTTTCGAACTGAGGCTAAGGCTGCTCTCTTGACGCCTGATTTGGGGCTGGACATTTTCGAAGTCCTTTTCAAACTCTGTTCTCAAATCCCCCAAGAGGCCCCGAGGGCGCGCTTGGCTACCTTGCTCGACCATGCTCAGGTCAGTTTGATGCACCAACGGAAACAAAAGACTTGCGCAGATTTCGGGTGTTTCTTCCTGGTTCTTAGTATAAGGGAAGGAGGGAAATCGGTGGTCGATGTATTCCCTTACATGGTGTACATACGCGGTAGGGGGGATATGAGGGCTGTGCCGAGTTCCCTCATTCCCTACAAAGAGCTCCACTTTTTTGCGTCGCCTTCATCTCTTGGAAGTGGAGCGTTGCAGGCATCATAGCCGAGTGTCTTTTGTTGCCACAAGACTCATACCCTCTAATTTTGGTCAAACCCTAAACCCTAGGCCCTAAGCCCTTGTAGCCCTAAACCCTAAACCCGAAACCCTAAACCCTAAACCCTAAACCCCCTGCAGCTCTTCAGGTGCTGCCGGAATCTTGGCTGCCGGCCCACCCCCGGGCAACCCAGGAGGCCTGCCGCAGGGCTTGGGGCTTGGGGTTTGGGGTTTGGGGTTTGGGGTTTGGGGTTTGGGGTTTAGGGTTTAGGGTTGGCGCCAAGACCGACCTTCAACCCGCAAAGCCTCAAGCCCTTTAGGGTTTAGGGTTTAGATTTGGAGCACTAATGAGCGATCGCAGTCCCAAAGCCTAATTACAAGCCCAAAGCTTGCCCCTGAACGTTAACCACCTTAACCCTACTAGGACCCGGAGAAGGCCCTTATTTCATTTTTTGGGTTTGGGGTTCCCGTAAAATTCCCTTAAACCAAAAAGGACACCCTTTTGATTCCTAGGAAACTCCTGAGTCTAGCTACCTTAGAATCGTATAAGGGGTTTTCCACTACGAACCTACAAAAGGTAGGTTTTAGCTAGAGGCTGCTAGCGGGAAGTATGTTGTCACTGACGTCGTGCAAGTCGGGCACGGACGGCGGAGGAGGAGGCCCGTGCACGGGCGGCAGAGGAGGAGGCCCGGGCTGCGGAGGAGAGCACATGTCGGAGCCATGCACCTGCCAAGTAGGGCAACGTTCAGCGGGCCCGCGCCGCCGAGAAGTTGAGGCCCAAGGAGCTCGTCGGGTGTCACAGCCACCGCCAGATCACCTTGATACTGCAGGGCGGGAACCGTCCGCCACTGACATCGAAACGCAGTATTCGTTGTTAGGGTAATCTCTAAGATCCAAACCCCTGCTGGGAAGTTGGGTAGGGACTGAGGCTGCAGAAAGGTTGGGTCCTCTCTTGTGTTTGAGGTTTAGGCCGGGTTTAGGGATCAGGGTTTGAGATGTTCTCCCCTATACTAGCAGTCCTTAATCGGCTATAATCCCTCTTAAGTAGCTCTTAGTACAAGGGGGAGCATCCCAAGTTTGGGTCTAGAGGTGTTTTGGGGTGGTGCCGTCTCATGAGGCTGACGTACATGTCCCTACTTCGCATACGCGAACCCTGGAAAATCCCTAAACCCTAAACCCTAAACCCTAAACCCTAAACCCTAAACCCTAAACCCTAAACCCTAAACCCTAAACCCTAAACCCCAAACCCTAAACCCTAAACCCTAACCCTAAACCCTAAATGCTACCCCTAAACCCTAATCCTCCTGTGAGTTGCTGGAAAAGGCGCCTCCATGTGAGAGGACTGGCCAGTCTGGAGAGCTGCAGGAGGCGCGATGGGGTGTAGGGTTTAGGGTTTAGGGTTTAGGGTTTAGGGTTTAGGGTTTAGGGTTCTCCTATAACAGTACTAGGAGTAGGCCCTTCTTTCCTTTTGTTAGCGCTTGGGCTCCCTTCTACTAAGCCCGTTTAAACCAAAAAGGGTTTTCTTTCCGTTCCTAGGAGGTTTAGGGTTTAGGGTTTGGGGTTTGGGGCTTGGGGTTTAGGGTGCTCCTGCGTCTAGAGTACTATTCTTACCCTTATTTCTTTGGTCAGAATGTTTTCTTACTCTTTCAGTCACTAATCGTACTTTCATTATTTTTTGTTTCCTTACGTTATTATTTTCCTGGAATGACTACAGCTAGCTATTCCTTACTTTCAAGTCCATGTATAGCATGTTTACTTCCAACCAATGTTATGAGGAGCTTCATTCCTGTTTAGGGTTTAGGGTTTAGGGTTTAGAGTTTAGGGTTTGGGCGGCTTAGGGTGAAGAGACGTAGCTTAGTGGTTGGCGCACTTCCAGGACCTTCAGAAGGAAGCGAAGAGGTTTAGGGCCCAAACCCTACACCCTAAACCCTAGACCCTAAACCCTAAACCGTAAACCTTAAACCCTAAACCCAGCTTAGGTTCAGGCTTAGGGTGAGTTCTCGTCCCATCCCTACAGTCGTGCTCTCGGAATCTCTCCGCAAAGCCACCCTAAACCCTAAACCCTGAACCCCTGAACCCTTGAACCCCTAAACCTCTAAACCCCTAAACCCCTAAACCCCTAAACCCCTACACCGCTAAACCCCTAAACCCCTAAGTTTAGGAGCCTCCGGCTCAGGCCGCCGACCCAAGAGGCCCGAAACCTCTCAACCCTGTTACCCTAAAGCCTAAACGCTGAACTCTACACCTAAACCAGGGTTCGGGGGTTTGAGGACGTGCTGTGGGAATGGGGGGGTAGAGGCTTCGAACTGTTGGAGTGGTGGCGGGGGTGGGGGGGGGGGGGGGGGGGGGAAGGGAAAGGCGAGAAGGGTTCCCCCTAAACCCCTAAACCCCTAAACCCCTAAACCCCTAAACCCTGAACTAACCCCTGAACCCCCCCTAACCCCTGAACCCCTGAACCCCTGAACCCCTGAACCCCTGAACCCCTGAACCCCTGAACCCCTGAACCCCTGAACCCCTGAACCCCTGAACCCCTGAACCCTAACGCCTAAACCTTAAACCCCAAACCCTAACCACCAAACCCCGACCCAAGCACTCAAGTCCTCACACAGTGGGCCATAAGCTCCATAAACCCTTTGAAGATTTCGAAGCTCCAGGCTAAGCCCTCAACCCTAAACCCTAAACCCCAAACCCTAAACCCTAAATCCTGCACCCTAAACCCCAAACCCTAAACCCTAAACCCGAAACTCCAGCGCCATGCCTTTCAGGCTGCGGCGGCCCGCCTCGAGCGTCTCCGCGCCGCGGTGCGGCAGAAGCAGGAGGCTGCCCCACTTGGGAGGGTCTAGGGTTCAGGGTTTAGGGTTTAGGGTTTAGGGTTTAGGGTTTAGGGTTGGGGGTTTGGGGTTGGGGTTTAGGGTTGGGGGTGTAGGGTTTAGGTTTCAGGGTTTTGGGGTTTAGGGTTTCGGGTTTTGGGCTTTGGGGTGTAGGGGTTGGGGTTTAGGCCTTGGGGTTTAGGGTTGGGGGTGTAGGGTTGGGGGTTTAGGGTTTGGGGTTTAGGGTTGGGGGGTTTAGGGTGTAGGTTTCAGGGTTTGGGGTTTTGGGTTTTGGGCTTTGGGGTGTAGGGTTGGGGTTTGGGGTTTATGGTTTAGGTTTCGGTGTTTGGGGTTTGGGGTTTAGGGTTTAGGGTATGGGTTTTAGAGTTTGGGGTTTAGGGTTTCGGTTTTGGGGCTTTGGGGTTCAGGGTTTGGGTTGTATGGTTTAGTTTCAGGGTTTGGGGTTTAGGGTTTCGGGATTTGGGCTTTCGGGTGTAGGGTTTGGGGTTTAGGGTTGGGGGTTTAGGGTTTACGGTTTGGAGTTTCGTTTTTTGGTTTTGGGTTCAGGGTTTGGGGGATAAAGTTTAGGGTTTGGGGGTTTACAATTTGGGGTTTAGGTTTGGGGCTCAGGGGTTTTGGGTGCTGGTTTGGGATTTTGGGGTTGCGGTTTAGGGTTTAGGGTTTTCTGCTTAGGGTCCGGGGCTTTGCAGTTTTGATTAAGCGCTGCGCCATGCGCGCAAATCAATGGTTCTCTTCCACGCAAAAAGCAGAAGACCACGATTGTCCAGCGGGATGTTGCCATGGAGGCCCGCTTCATACAATAGAAAACAAGCGCAACGGGGAGGACATGCTCATCATTGTCGGTCGCCGATTTTGCACGGAAAAAGGGACCCTCTGCTGCCAAAGCGCTCGACCTATACAGGCGACAGGCAGCCACCTGGCCGGGGGCGCCGTAGGGACCCGCGTAGGGTTTGGGGCCTAAAACCCTAGACCCTAGGATTTTGTGATCTTGGGGGCACTTAGGGTCTGATGGAGGTTTGGGGTTCTCGGTTTTGGGTTTAGGGCTTTGTGATTGGGTTGCTGTACCGTTTGGGGCGAAGTCGCCTGGCAGAATCTGTTGGTACAATCCAAAGCTTAAGCCTAAGATACCCAGTTGCCCTAGGAAGATCGAGCAGTATAACTTGAAACCCTAAGCCTTAAGCAGGCGAAACCCTGCCTCAAACCCGGCGACCTTAGCCCGTAGTCCTCCTTAGGGTTTAGGGTTTAGGGTTTAGGGTTTAGGGTTTAGGGTTTAGGGTTTAGGGTTTAGGGTTTAGGGCGAATCTCCCAGGGGGCCCTTTTGCTGAACCCGGGCATGCCAAGATTCTTCTCCCCCCCCCCCTTTCTCCCCTAAATCCTAAGCCTTAAACCCCAAATCCTAAACCTTAAACACTGAACCATAAACCCTACACCCAAAAACCCTAAACCTTAAACCCTAAACCCTAAACCCTAACGCTCCCCTCCTTCTCCCTGAGGCCGTTGTGGAAGCTCGCACCCGCAGGCGCTCCGCAGAGGAGCGCGTTAGGGTTTAGGGTTTAGGGTTCAGGGTTCAGGGTTCAGGGTTTAGGGTTTAGGGTTT